CCCACCTCTCATCCTTAATGACGCTCCGCTTTGGTCGGCTAGGGTCATGCTCATCATATTTTGCAATATGGCCGAAATGCATTACCCCGATCGATTTCTTCGGCAGTTCCATATAAGGCAAGATACTCTGAATGCTCCTTTGATGGGTACTGATAATCACGGCAATCGTTCCAACATAGTAACCGGTGCCTTGGCGATGTGGGCGGCCATACAACATAATATATACTTTCTTGATTATGATCGACATATGTCCCTCGAAGCAACTAATAGGTATCGAAAATGGTACAAGAAGCATGGTATGACACGTGTCCAGAACCCTTCTCACAATGTGCCCACCACAGGCTACACCCCGACAGCACACGATTGGGGTAGTGTGGTAAGTTTTTGAATACATACCATATTCATTAACATATATCGTGTCATATTATTTACACGTGTTACATTTTTATGCAGAAGCAAGGCGTTCACGAGGTGTATCAGCTCTTAGCCGACCGCGCGAGTTATGAGGTCTGTCAAAAACGACTACGGCGGATGGCCCTGGACGTAGGTGATGAAGAGATGCTCCACCAGGGCATATTCCATTATGAAGATGAAGTTGAAGGTGGAAGTGATGAAGAGGATGATGCAGATGAACATGAAGGTGTGGGTGAGGACTCACAATCGCCCCCTCAATTCTCAACACAGGGTGTCTCATTTCATCAACCACCCCCTCAATTCTCAACGCATCAAGGTGTCTCATTTGATCAACCACCGCCATATTATGATTCTTATCAGTGCTCCACACAAGCGGGTGATTATGTTGAGTCATTTCTGAATTCGTCGTTTTACTATGGAGACACAACGGGGCCTTGGAACACTGGCGGTGGGGACAGAGCAGGGCAGAGCACGCAACGTTAGATGTAGTATTAAATTTAATATTGTATGTATTGTCTATTCATTAATAAATTATATTGAAAACTACATTTGTTTTGTTCACTTCCATTAAAATTACAAAAATTGCACTTAAAACAAAATCAAATTTGTATCTCATTTGACGAATGGATTAAATCAAAATTGCACTTAAAATTACAAAAATTGCAATTAAAACAAAATTCACAATCCAAATGGATTAAAAAACAATATAAAACAATCAAATGTTATGTTACTCACAAAATCAAAATGCTAAGTTTTCATTTTAAAAAACATGTCAGGAATCTAAAAAAACTTTAAAATTTGGAATGGATAGAATTTAGCCCTAGAATTTAAAACTTTTAGTTTTTAAAACTCAAAATCAAAAACTTAAGAATTCGGCAAAAAATAAAAAAAAAAAAAAAACAAAAAAAACTCCTAGTCGGTAGTGGCTAATCCGACAGGAGGGGATGTTTTTTGTTGGAAACCCTACCTCTAGTCGGAACTGGGTGTTCCGACTCCCGTTTTTTTGGTAAACCCTAAAAAAACCCCGTATTTTGGCAACCCCAACCCACTTTTCCCGTGTTTCGGTAAATCACTCTATTTTATCACCTAAAAACCATGAGACATTATAGATGAAAACATTTTAGTCAATATCGAAGATTCTTGTCCAAATGAATCGTAGATCATAATAATAACAGTATAGAGGACTGCTCAGGTCCCTCCGGAGGGACGGGAGGGACCGTCCGAACTTTACTGTTTGGGGCGGTTCCCAGTGGAATTTTTCGATGAAATTTTTTGAGCATGTGACTCATCAAGTCTAGTTTGTCCATACCAAATTTCAGCTCAAAATTCGTCCGGGAAGGCAGTCAAATAAATTCTTGAAACTTACTGCACTTTATATATGCGCAAAATGTGCAGTAAGCTTCAAGAATTTATTTGACTGCCTTCCCGGTCGAATTTTGAGCTGAAATTTGGTATGGACAAACTAGACTTGATGAGGAACATGCTCAAAAAATTTCATCAAAAAATTCCACCGGGAACCGCCCCAAACAGTAAAGTTCGGACGGTCCCTCCCGTCCCTCTGGAGGGACCTGATCTTTTCTGTAACAGTATAATACGGAGTATAACATAATAACATATAGACATATAGTACGTTATTGTATAATGCTAATCAAGTTTCTTAAGAAATTGTGACATCCATTTTCTTCTCATCTTAGTCATCTAAGATGTTTTTACTTGGTCTGTTTTCAATTCCAGACCAGATCATACAAGACTTAAATAGACCAGATCAGACTTAAACTGACCAGACCAGATCTGAATTTCTTAATTATAAAATACACAGAAACCTAACGTTTATCAAACAAATCAGACCAAACAAGATTTAAACAAACCAGATCAGACTAATAAATTTCAGTCCGAGTAAAAACATCCTTGGTCACCTCTAATCAATGACTCGAATAAGTTCAATAAAACTTGAATAGGTCAATATAGTGCCAACGCCAATAAATGTTCAATTGTGGAACCGTATTTATATAGTCTATCAAGGCCCATTATTCCAGGCATTTTACAAGTATACTAAATTGATTATGGACTTCATCGTGAGAAAGACTGCTCCACATGGAGGGCCCAGTTAGAGAGCCCATCACTTATCGTTCGCCCGTACCACAGCATTAATTGAACTTTTCTTAAATCAAGAAGGGTAATTCTAAATACAGCCTCTATTTTACTAAACACAGCCCTCATATAAATAAAATGTCTTTTATACCCCTATCGTTCCCCCATCATCTTATTGCCGTCTTTCCCTGTTGTTGTCCCACCATCATCTTATTTTGTCGTCTAATGCTCTCCTATAACCCTCTCACCATCTCAATTGACCAGATCTAATTGAAGCAGAAACTCATTCCAAACTATGCATGTTGCTAATTCTTCTAAAAGAAAACCTGGGAAATAGCATAACCAATAACCATTATGTGTAGCTCATTTGTTTCAATGCGTAGGAATAAAAAAGTGCTTTACGTATTGATAGCATCTTAGATAAAGCAAGACCAATGCTTTACACACACGCATCTTAGATTTGACTGTAATATCAGAGGAGGATGACACCCCATCCTTGAGGGCCCCCCAACACCGACCGGACGGCACGATGGGAGGATGTAAATTGGACTATAATCACAATATGACAGATAGAGAGTGGGGCTCTGTCCCCGGTACTTGCAGAAGCCCTATGCATTTTTCAGCATAGTAACCCTTCAGAGGAGTCTTTGTATGGCGGAGCAATAACAATTAAGGATGTTTTCTTTTGGACTGTTTTCAGTCCCAGACCAGACCAGACCAGACTTAAACAGACCAGACCAGACCAGACCAGACCAGACTTAAACAGACCAGACCAGACCAGACCAGACTTAAACAGACCAGACCAGACCAGACCAGACTTCCGTAGTTATAAAATACACAGAGACCAGACGTTTACCAAACCAGACCAGACCAGTTCAGACCAGACCAGACCAGACCAGACTTAAACAGACCAGACCAGACCAGACCAGACTTAAACAGACCAGACCAGACCAGACCAGCAAATTTCAGTCCAAAAGAAAACATCCTAACAAAGCAGTTAAGCAGTTTACTTCAATTTTAAGTCTCCCTCCATTCCACCACCGTTCTACTGTAATTTCTTGTGATTTAATTTCCCCTTACCACCGTTCTTCTCATCTTTGCTTCGTTTCATTTTGTTTTTGAAAGTTTATGTTGATAAATATATTGTTTCAGTCAAACGAGAGGTAACGAGTATAAACTGGAGCAAACAATTGTTCCTAAGTTCCTAACTGTAGATCTGCACTTGATGTCGTATTCAAGAAGATTGGATGAAAGAGGGGTTGATTTAATTCAAAGGCTAATATAGGTATTTAAAAAAATTACTTACGTTGGGGGCTGTGAATAGTCATATATGGGCTGCAAATAGAATTTCCCAATCAAGAAACGAGCTGCAACTACTAAACAACAATTAAAATTATAAACCGTATGAAAATTAATTACATGTCATATCTCAAATATTGTTATTATGTAAGTGATTAGGACTGATTTTTAGATGCAAAATATGATTAGTTTTAATATTAATAATTATTCTTACTTTAAAAACAAATGAACTTTTTTTATCACAATTATGAGTAAAACAAAGTCCAATTATATAGATATGGTCATTCATCTTCTTTAAAGTTAGTAAAATATATATGAAATAATTGCATATATATGACTAAAATAAACATTGTTTACAAAAATGTGACTAGTGATTATAGTAATGGAATCATAGTAGCTCGTGTCAATTTTTAAACTTAATTTACCATAACACTACATTGCAGTAACTATTAGTCATATTTGTGTAAACACGTTTTATTTTAGTAATATGACAGCTATTAAATACTTCCTCCGTCCCAAAATGAGAGTCTTGTTTCTTTTAGGCACAAAAATTAAAAAAGTGTGGTAGAAAGACTAAAGAACTTTATTTTATTGTAGCATTCATCATTTTACTTTTACTGTTCATTAAAAGTAATCCACTTTTAATTCTTTACCAAAAAGGGAAACAAGACTATCATTGTGGAACATCCCTGAAAGGAAATACTGGTTAGGATGGAGGGAGTAATACTTACTCTCTCCTTTCAAACTTCTTCATCTTCGACTTTTTTTATAAATGAAGTTAACTTGACCAATTATATATTTTAATATAAAAATGTTTATATTATAAAAATGATGCTAAATTATTGTTTGTTCAATATACATTCAAAAAAATATAAAACATACATCTTTAATAAAAATAAAATGATCAATAGCTGTTTCTGAATCTGAATATTTCTGATCTGGTCTGATCTGATATGAATCTTTCTAATCTGATCTGAATGCTTCTGATCTGATTTGAATCTTTCTGATCTGATCTGATCAATAAGAATAAGCAATAAGTAATAAGAATAAGACGAAGAGAACAACTTATAAACTATAAGTTTCAAGGGGCAAGTGGAGTACTTTTATTTTCACGTTCATTTTGCACTTCGTAATGTCTATAATAATATTGAGTTTTTTTTTTGAAAGGAAACTAATTATATTATATCATCCAAACGACTCAACATACCTCCCCCCTTACAATCAACCCAAATGTCCTCCATGAAGCATCTAAAATTTCAACCCCACGTGTAACGCCAAACCTCTTCGTGAGGCTCCGCATAGCCCAAAGGCCCCCCCACTCTCTGGCTAGACTTAGAATAGACCACCCCGGAAAGAGCGAGACTATTCGCGAACCATGTGAGAGCTTCGAAGCTTTCCTCGGCCAAACAAGCCTTATCGCTTCCACCAAAACTAACATCCCAAACCAAACACAAAAAAACAACTACCAACCTACCACTAGAGTTCAAAATAATGAGAAAAACAACATGAGTAACTAAGAAACAACACAACTGACAGGACTGATAAAGATAAAAAATAGCTAGTAATAACTCTTGTGAGCCCCATCTGCACGGTTTCCCCATGGCGGCGGTTCAGGCGGGGGGCGAAGCATGAACTCTTCATTTTTCTTTTCCCTCATCCGAAGCTGAATCTCTCCGTGCCAGATCAACCATAGCCACCACGTCACCCGCCTCCCCAACCGTCTGGAATCCAAATCAGCCCCATACTCTAAGCACGATCCCAACATTGTACCACCCGGATAAAAAACAATAGATCTAACCTCCATCACATTGCCTAACAAGGCTAGGAAAATCCAACCCAGCAACAGATTTTCATACCTCGCAGCCTTGCTAGGCGCATAACCTTGGCCCTCTCTGGAATTGCTGAACTCTGGTGGCCTCCCACAGATGCCCAGCCACACCATCTTCAACCCTGCAGTCCCTTGCACCTCCGCCTGGAAACACGACAACACAAACCCAGATCGCCGCACCAAGCCAAAACTAGACGCAACGCTGAACGAATTCCAGCTGCGCCTAGGCCCTTGTTGCGGACGGAAAAAACTTGCGGACAAAGCCTTCAGCCGCCGCAAAATGCAATGTAAGAATATAATATTAAGAAAGTACAATGTAAAATAAATTGAAGTACAGCAAAATGCACGTATATCATGAATGCATTTAGAATAATTCGATTATAAACCATATGGACAAAAAAGCACATGTAACTTCTGAATTCTAATACAGTAGCATATTCTTGTTTCTTTATGAAAGTAAAAATGGTACTCCATAATCATGGGCGGAGCTAGGGGTGGGCAAACCTAGCCCATAGCTCACCCTAAATTTTAAAAATGACTTAAATTTTATGGTAAAAAATTTTGTGTAAATCTTTTTTTAAAATATTCTTTGTACCGGCCTAGTCCGGTCTAGTACTTTGGCTCCGCCCCTATGACCGTAATATACATCACTTCAATCAAAATTCTAACTCTAGTTAACATTCTCTTTTCTTTTATAGCTTTTCGGCTTTTATAGTGATGGTAAATTGGTAATAACATCATGTTGAGTTTAATCCAACACGATATAGTAAATGTATGTATGAACACTCAGTTTTTACGTGGAAACACGAAAGGGAGAAAACCACGGGACTTTTTAGGCTAATGTCCAAGCCCTCTCATTCTCATTAGTCTCTCCTCACCATTACATAGTACAAGTATTGAAGCTCCCATTAATGGAGTTCTAAGCTATTCTAGTGAGAAGGAGGAAGAAGAAAAGGATCCATAATATGGAGGGAAACTCCCATATTTATAGAGAATAGGGGAAGGGGATGCTCTCCACCCTAATGGGCCGGAGTGGGCCCAAAGCGGGCCGAAATGGCTAAAGTGGGCCGGATGGGCCAAAATGGGCCTAGATGCTCGGGCTCCGTAGTGAATAATGTCTTGGGCTCCTGAACAGTAATAGGCCGGGATAATATATCCCAACACAAGTCCCCCAGTTTCTTGAGTAGTGAGCGTGCGAATCTGCTCGAGAAAATATACTCTTGTCTGCGCTCTTCCTCTGTCTTGCTGGAAACTGTGTCTTCAAATAATCATAATATATGAGTGGGTGTCTGCACTCATGAACGTAATCTGCCGGTGAGGCACCCCCTTCCCGACGGGGTCGGGCGAAGGGTGCTCCTCCACGGGCACACTCCCCCTGAATGCATCAGGCGGGAGTAAAGGACTCTGACTCGAGCTTTCCAATCGGAGAAGCTTAGAGGTCCATGCATCTATAAACCGACGTCGCGGTACTGTCAAAACATGATGCACGTGTGTATGTATGAATGTATGAGGTATGATGCATGAATGCATGAATGCATGTAATGTATGGGTGCAATGTATGGGAGAAGGAATGTGAGATGTGATGGAAAGCGGTGGCTCTCATCGATTACCCGGGCATGTCAGCGCCGAGAGGCAGACGTGCTACATAAGAGATGTTCGTCGCCATCCTGGAAGGGATGGACGAGCCGAACATGAGACAGACACGATGGCACAGAGGCGCTGATCGTGCTGCATAAGAGATGTTCGTCGCCATCCTGGAAGGGATGGGCGAGCCGAACATGAGCCAGACACGATGGCACAGAGGCGCTGATCGTGCTGCATAAGACGTTCGTCGCCACCCTGGAAGGAATGGGCGATCCGAACGTGAGCTGGGTACGATGGCGCTGAGGGGCCGATCGTACTGCATAAGACGGTCGTCGCCATCCTGAAGGGAATGGGCGATCCGAACCGTGAATCAGGACACGATGGCGCTGAGGGGCCGATCGTGATGCATAAGACGTTCGTCGCCACCCTGGAAGGGATGGACGAGCTGAACGTGAGCTGGGTATGATGGCGCTGAGGGGCCGATCGTACTGCATGAGACGGTCGTCGTCATCCTGGAGGGAATGGGCGATCCGAACCGTGAATCAGGACACGATGGCGCTGAGGGGCCGATCGTGATGCATAAGACGTTCGTCGCCACCCTGGAAGGGATGGACGATCCGAACGTGAGCTGGGTACGATGGCGCTGAGGGGCCGATCGTACTGCATAAGACGGTCGTCGCCATCCTGGAAGGGATGGACGAGCTGAACGTGAGCTGGGTACGATGGCGCTGAGGGGCCGATCGTACTGCATAAGACGGTCGTCGCCATCCTGGAGGGAAATGGGCGATCCGAACCGTGAATCAGGACACGATGGCGCTGAGGGGCCGATCGTGATGCATAAGACGTTCGTCGCCACCCTGGAAGGGATGGACGTGAGCTGGGTACGATGGCGCTGAGGGGCCGATCGTACTGCATAAGACGGTCATCGCCATCCTGGAGGGAATGGGCGATCCGAACCGTGAATCAGGACACGATGGCGCTGAGGGGCTGATCGTGATGCATAAGACGTTCGTCGCCACCCTGGAAGGGATGGACGATCCGAACGTGAGCTGGGTACGATGGCGCTGAGGGGCCGATCGTACTGCATAAGACGGTCGTCGCCATCCTGGAGGGAAATGGGCGATCCGAACCGTGAATCAGGACACGATGGTGCTGAGGGGCCGATCGTGATGCATAAGACGTTCGTCGCCACCCTGGAAGGGATGGACGAGCTGAACGTGAGCTGGGTACGATGGCGCTAAGGGGCCGATCGTACTGCATAAGACGGTCGTCGCCATCCTGGAGGGAAATGAGCGATCCGAACCGTGAATCTGGACACGATGGCGCTGAGGGGCCGATCGTTATGCATAAGACGTTCGTCGCCACCCTGGAAGGGATGGACGATCCGAACGTGAGCAGGGTACGACGGCGCTGAGGGGCCGATCGTACTGCATAAGACGGTCGTCGCCATCCTGGAGGGAAATGGGCGATCCGAACCGTGAATCAGGACACGATGGCGCTGAGGGGCCGATCGTGATGCATAAGACGTTCGTCGCCACCCTGGAAGGGATAGACGAGCTGAACGTGAGCTGGGTACGATGGCGCTGAGGGGCCGATCGTACTGCATAAGACGGTCGTCGCCATCCTGGAGGGAATGGGCGATCCGAACCGTGAATCAGGACACGATGGCGCTGAGGGGCCGATCGTGATGCATAAGACGTTCGTCGCCACCCTGGAAGGGATGGACGAGCTGAACGTGAGCTGGGTACGATGGCGCTGAGGGGCCGATCGTACTGCATAAGACGTTCGTCGCCACCCTGGAAGGGATGGACGAGCTGAACGTGAGCTGGGTACGATGGCGCTGAAGGGCCGATCGTACTGCATAAGACGGTCGTCGCCATCCTGGAGGGAAATGAGCGATCCGAACCGTGAATCTGGACACGATGGCGCTGAGGGGGCCGATCGTGATGTATAAAAATAGTGATGATCATCTCATGGCCCTCGGCCTCTCGCGGCCCTCGGCCGTGCTGGTGATGTGTCAAGTCTCTCTCCTGATTGGCTGTGAGAAGCCGATCGTCTGCCAGGACTCCATCCGGGAAGGAATGGTGAGCCTGAAATAAATCCGGGCGATGTCCCTCCTACCTGATCTGGGGAGCTAATCGTCGTTCGTCTACCGTATCCGTGGTCCTATGTACGGACCGCTAAGCGGTGTACACTCGGTACGCAACAGACTCCGGTGGAGAACTGGTCCTGCGTGTCTGACCCACGGGGCTGGTCTTCGTTCGTCTACCATATCCGTGGTCCTATGTACGGACCGCTAAGCGGTGTACACTCGGCACGCAATCAGACTCCGGTAAAGAACTCGATCTTTGTTCTTCCCAAGTCTCGTGAGTACTGGTCCCCTGGTTTCGCAGGAGACGTTCGTCATCCCAACTATGAGAAGAAACAGGTTTATCCACGTCGGGATTCCCAATTCTTCGTCCGTCCCTGTCGTGGTCCTACTAATCTTCTTACTTCGAAGAAGACGTTCGGTCATCCAACGATCGCAAGGAGGAACAGGTTTATCCACGTCGGGATTCCCTATTCTTCGTTCGTCCCTGTCGTGGTCCTACTAATCTTCTTACTTCGAAGAAGACGTTCGGTCATCCAACGATCGCAAGGAGGAACAGGTTTATCCACGTCGGGATTCCCTATTTCGTCGTCCCATGCTCGTGGCCCTACTAGCCTTCTGCTTTGGCAGAAGGTGTTCATCGAACCACGGGTCATGGGAGGAACTGGTTTATCTTGCCGAGGTTCCCTTTGGTACGTCTAGCCCCCCCCCCACGTTCCTACTAGCCTCCGCGTCGGGAGACGTTCGTCATACGCGGCGAAGGAAGATCAGGCATACCTCGTCAAGACTCCCTCTCTCATAGGATCTCGTCTCCCCTTCTCCCCATCTTTTTTTTTTCTTTCTTTTTTTTTTCTTTTTTTTTTTTTTTTGAGGGAGGAAAATACGTTCATCGGTTCTAAGAATGACCACAAGTGATGTCACACATAATGGTGGTGGGATACAAAAACGAATAAAATGACGAGGCGATGGAATAGCTGGTCGTCATGCGAGGCGATGGTCGCCCTCTTGGAGGGGAGTCGTGAGCCCGATCGCTAACTCAAGAAAGTCGGCATTGGGAGCCGATAAACAATGATCATAATGTCGCTGAGCAGTCGGTCCTGATAAGGAGATGACAATAGTGTCCGATCAGGCCGATATATCCAAGCAACGGCTCTCATCCACGCAGCGCGGGGATGAAACCGGTCTTCAAAAGATAAATATGTCGTGCCGAGAGGCCGAACATAACATGATAGTGTCGGCAGCAAGAGGCCGACCTGAAAGAATCAAGCAATGGTCCTCGTCCGCGAGGGGCGGGGACAAGGCCGGTCTTCAAAAGATAAACACGCCGTGTCGGCAGGCCGGTCGTGATATAATAACATCGACGATGAGAGGCCGATCTGAGAAAACAAGCAACGGTCGTCATCCGCGAGGAGCGGGGATGAAACCGGTCTTCAAATATGGAAAGCACGCCGAGCCGGGAGGCCGGTCGTGATATAATGGTGTCGGCAATGAGAGGCCGACCTGAAATCAAGCAACGGTCCTCATCCACGCAGTGCGGGGACGAGGCCGGTCTTCAAATATGATGATCATGCCGTGCCAAGGGGCCGGTCATGATGTAATGATGGCGTCAGACGGCCCTCGGCCGTGACGATCTCTTCTAGGCCCTCGGCCTCTGAATGACGGGTGATCGTCTCACGGTTCTCTGTCATGGCATTCGCCTCTAGACCCTCGGCCTCTAGGTGTTCTTCCTAGGCCATCGGTCTCTAGGGTGGAGATGCTCGTCCCACGGTTCTCAACCGTGGTGGTCTCCTCTAGGCCCTCGACCTCTGGGTGGAGATGCTCGTCCATCGGCTCTCAGCCGTGATGGTCTCCACTTTAGTTGGCCCTGAACGTCTTTGGGACTTAGGCCGATCGTCTTTTAATCATTTCGCTCGAACGCGTCGAGCGGCTTCAGCTGCGCAATAAGCATGATAACAGGCCGCACGGCCCGACAATATGTATACACACATAACCATCTGCATGGTTTTCTTTCTAACACCCACGATTACCGGTCTATGGGTCATCGTGACCCTCGGCCCGGCTCATCGTGCGGGGTTAATGGACGTAGCAGCTCGCGGCGGGGCCAATTAGTAGCCCGCCGAACGTCACATAGAGATATTCATCGGTCCGTGAGTTTTCAAACTCAGACCCAAGTTGGTCGCACTGCCCTCAGAAAAAGGAGGTTGGATGCTTTGGTGCCTTCGGGCCCCACAGGCCACGTTTGGCAATAATCATTTCACGCCTAATGGCGTAAATGACACTGGGGTACAATCGTCGATCGGGCACGTAGTGCCGTGCGGACTAATGCGCAACCCTCAAATTCAAACGCGTCGTCGGGGCATCGCCCTTCTGGAGACGCTCGGATCACTTAATCAAGCTGATCGAGGGTGTGCCAACAGGCCCACAAGAAATTAAATATTCAATAAATGTTGGCTGAACCAAACATCACCAGAGCTTCGCTCCACATTATTTAATTCGGGACATTTTTATCCCTAATAAATAATAGTGACGTAACGGGTAATAGTAATGATACTTTCCTATCAAAAGCCATTCCGGTATTCTCCGCCTGCTAATTTAAGCCGATCAGGAGCGGGCCAACGGGCCCACCACAACCCATCATTAATTAAAATGATGGTGAAATTAATTATCACTTAGAGCATCGCTCACACTATTTAATTCTGGGATATTTTAATCCCATAATAAATAATGGTGATAAAAATACTAGCAATACTAATATTTTAAACAATTAACTATTAATGCACCAACTTAAGAGTATGTATATGTACTTAGCTTTGGAGATAAAGCTTCGGTCAGGAGGGATTCTAGAGCCAGATTTGCTCCCTTCCATTGATTTTGACTTTGGTCAAAAGTACTCCAACTATTGATTTCTCAAACTAATGCTCCAAGCCTTTGGTATAGACCTCCGGCCAGTGAGTTCCTCAACTTAATTTGGTTCCTTTGCTATTTGACTTGGTCAAGGTGCTCAAACTTATCCGTCTGCCACCATTCCTCCAGTGGACGTGGCCTTTGGAGAACCAAGGCATCTGATCCATATGCTGTACTTCGTATCTTTTGGGAAGCTAGCTGAAGCATCCATCCACCGACCCGAGGCCAACTGCGTGAGCCCTCATCGACGGCGGTACGGGCGGTTGCCGCGGCGCAAGGGCAGCGACCGAGGCCGGGCCAGGTGGGTCCGGCAGAGCTTCGAGGTGTACCTTCCCTAAGCTTCAAGCCGCCATTAATGGCGGAATTTCCTTCAGGTTGCGTCAGCTCCATGTCGCTGATGACGAGCGGTAGTGTGCGACTGAGGTGGTGGCCGCCTGAAACAGCTGGGGTGCTGCAGCGAGCTTCTTCTGGCGCAACTGACTTCACCGGAGGTCCACCGCGGCGGGGATGGTTGCGACGGCTCCGGTGACCTCAAAAATAGATCTGGAAAAAATTCATATTTGGCTTTCCAGATTTTCGTAGCTTCCTAGCTTCTTCTTCCCTTCCTCAGAATCTTTTTCCTCTTTCTTCCCTTGTTGAAAATCAGTCCATTTTCTGTATCTCTTTTCTTGTAGAACAAATGAATCTTTTTGGACAGATTCCCACAGATGGCGCCAGTGTTGAGTTTAATCCAACACGATATAGTAAATGTATGTATGAACACTCAGTTTTTACGTGGAAACACGAAAGGGAGAAAAACACGGGACTTTTTAGGCTAATGTCCAAGTCCTCTCATTCTCATTAGTCTCTCCTCACCATTACATAGTACAAGTATTGAAGCTCCCATTAATGGAGTTCTAAGCTATTCTAGTGAGAAGGAGGAAGAAGAAAAGGATCCATAATATGGAGGGAAACTCCCATATTTATAGAGAATAGGGGAAGGGGATGCTCTCCACCCTAATGGGCCGGAGTGGGCCCAAAGCGGGCCGAAATGGCTAAAGTGGGCCGGATGGGCCGAAATGGGCCTAGATGCTCGGGCTCCGTAGTGAATAATGTCTTAGCCTCCTGAACAGTAATAGGCCGGGATAATATATCCCAACACATCACTTCATCTAAACGCGGATGCCCCGTCGTTTTCCCTTTCAGCTTTTTTGGTATCAACTACGGAGTATCGATCAACTAATATTGTCTAATCAATCATTTCCCAAACATCTTCAGGGTCGTGCCTACTGTGAGGCCATTGAGGCATGGGCCTCAGGGGCCCAAAAATGTCAAAATTTTGAGGGCCCAACATTTTAGATGTCTTTCTATTATATAGATATATTTCTAATTAAAAATATATGCCTTTGTTTAATTCTGATGGCTGCTGCGTTTGGAAACCGAAATAGGCGACCTATAGACCAAGTACGGAGTACCAACGAAGATAGAAGAGGAACGACCGAACCAGTGTAGTGCGCCGGTGGCCAGTGCTTAAGTGTTGTGTGACTGCCGATTGCCAAACCTGAGAAGAAGAATTAGAAGAGTAATTTGTTGATTTGCCTTTGCCTTATTGCAGACTTGCAGCACTCGGTCCGCTAGGGCAGGAGGCTTGGAGCAATCAACCACCAAAAATAAAAAAAGGTAAGTCTCTATCATTGCCTTAGCTTTTATATGCTTTTAACCCTAGTTAGCTTTTTGCCGTTTAAAACTCGTTTAAAACCCGTACCGTTTTTTTGATTAAAAAAAAGCGTTTTAAATGAAAAAAAGGTCGGTGCGTTTTAAACGGAAAAATACGGCTTCCCAACGAATTTTTATAAAAAACGGTACATGGCTAAATGCCGGCAATTGATTTATTAGTTTTAGAATAGGAAACGATTCCTAAAAATCCGAAGTGTAGACCCCTTCCATCTTAAAAGATTCGTACTTTTTTTGAAAACAAAAAAATCCATAATTCACAGCAGCAATATCGGACCCTTCCATAATCGGTACGGATTCTAAGGAATATCAAGTTATCAAGTATCAAGTTATCAACAGAACACGTCTGAAGACTTCGACGATCTTCTCCATCCCATTGGGTTCTAAAATCTAAAGTTGAACTCAGGTTTTTAATGATATGTTTCAATACTTTCATGACTTCATCATACTTCGTATTTAGATTTTAGACACTTAAAGGATTAGTAATTATTCAATGATATGCCTATTACGTTCTTATGTTTAGATTTGTGAAAGCAACAATTTATTTTTGCAATTTACGATATAATTATTCTTATTTACTAAAGTTACTTGATCATCACTTGATCATCAATTACTTCATAAAAACTAAATACGGAGTAATTATTCTTCCATTATTATTATAATTAAATCATTTTTTAAAAGATATAATGTATGTAGCTAAACTGCTAAACGAAATTATCAACATTCTGCCTCTAGAATCTAGTTATTCGAAAAGGGTTATTTGTCATGTAAATTTATTTGTAAGTTAATATTTTTTGTTCTAACAATAATTTATTATATATTATGCTCTTTATTAGGTGGTATAATGGTGAGGAAAAAAGATCCTCTTTGGGAGTACGCAGATGAGCTTGATAATAAATTCAAATGCAGATATTGTCAGAAGGAGTATTCGGGTGGAATAGCGAGGGTAAAGTTTCATCTTTCTGGACTCAGAGGCCATGATGTTGAAATTTGTACTCAAGTTCCCGATGATGTTCAAGCACAAGCCTTCATTGCTTTGGAAAAGAACTCAAATAAAAGAAGCAAAAGTGCGGTCAGTACTCCCTCTTCTGGTATGAACGATAATCCCTCTTCTTTCATGGGTTTGCAACAAACCACGATGCCTGAGATGATAAAAAAGATGGATAAAAGTGGTGTGGATAAGTTGCTTACTAAGTTTTTCATCATGAATAATATTTCTTTTAATGTTATTCAAAGTGATTCCTTCAAGAACTTAGTGAAAGCCTTGGGTGAGTTTGGACCAACTTATAGGTTACCTAGCTACACGACTTTGAGAACAAAGCTTATTCCGGAAGCAAAGAAAGAGGTTGGTGAATATGTTAAGAATGTAAAAAAATCTTGGGAAAAAACTGGTTGTACTATAATGTCTGATACTTGGAGTGATCTCAAACAATGGTGCTATATTAATTTTATTGCAGACTCTCCTGGAGGTGCCGTATTCTTGCAATTTATTGAGATTTCTAAAGAGAGGAAAACATGATATTTGTTAAAAGAATTGTGTTCTAAAGTTATTGATTTACTTGGACCACAATATGTTGTTCAATTTGTGACTGACAATGCCTCGAACTTTGAAAGTGCCGGTGAGATGTTAGTTGGAAAGTACCCCACCATGTATAAGACCAAATGCGCTGCTCATGGCATTCAATTGCTTTTTAAGGACATTTATAAGGATCTTGAGTGGGTGAGGAGTGCTGTTGATGATGCAAAGTCAATCCAGTCGTTTATGTATAGGCATCAAATTATTACTGGATTAATGAGAGATGCTACAAATGGGAGGGAATTGAAAAAACCGTGTGCCACTCGATTTGCTTCGAATTTTATTGTTCTTCAATCTGTTCTTGAGGTTGAGAATGCATTAAGGTTATTCGTGGCATCTCCTATTTGGAGGGGTTTAGAGTATACTAAGTCATCTGAAGGGAAAAGGGTCACATGTATCATTCAAGATCCCGATTTTTGGACGCGTGCAAAAGAAGTTATTGATGTTTTAGAGCCTCTTGTGAGAATCCTTCGTTTAGTTGATGGTGATGGATCCACTTCTGGGTATTTATATCAAGCAATGGAGATGGCAAAAGAATCTATCGACTTTAAGAGTGCTTTGAACGAGGGTAAATATGGCCGCATAAAGTTACTATTGCAAAAGAGGCGAAATGAAAATATTCTTCACCCCATCCATGCTGCAGCTGCCTTCCTTAATCCCGCATATATGCTTAGTGACTCTTTCAAGGAAAATTGGGAGATGAAACAAGGAACTAGTTACATTTATGATAATCTAGTTTCAGTGGCCGAAAAGGAGTCTTTTCTTGAGCAAGTGCAACTTTATCGCATGTCTTATGCCCCTTTATTCTCCTCATCTGCCAAAGCAATGCTAAAAACATATCATCCTAGTAAGTTTGTTCTAACTATTTTAAATCTTAACGTAAATGATTTATTTGAATACACTATTGTTTAATTTATTTTTTATTTCTTAATTGTATGTCCTTCACTTATTTTTTGTTGAAGGAATATGGTGGGATGTTTGTGGTGATGTTCTTCCAGTGCTTCAAAAATATGCTATTCACATTTTGAGTCAGCCATGTAGTTCTTCTTCATGTGAACGCAATTGGAGTGCTTTTGAAGCGGCCCAAACCAAGAAGAGAAACAGGTTGACTCCTCAAATGCTTGGAACTCTAGTTTATGTGAGGATGAATTCCATGATGATAGAGAAGTTTCAAAGTAACGAAGTGGCCGACATGAAACCAATTGATTTGACAAGTCTAAAGGATTGGCCGGATTACGGAGAAGAAGTGGAACCGATTTGTAGTGGAGCTCTTACGATGGAAGAGGCTTCAATCATAGATTCAATGGAAGGACCTGACAATCTTGACTCAATTTGTCTAACCATCGATGACGGTGATGGTGATGAAGATGACGAGTTTAACTTGGATGCTATTTGATGAACATGATGAGTTCATTTTGGTTTTTTTTTGTTATGATGTGCTACATTGTTAGACATAATTGTTGCTGGATTTATATGTTGACTTAATTCCTATTTCTTTTCTTGTCATGGACTTATGCTATCAGTTATATTGTGATCTTTTTATGGAGTAATATGATATTATGATTTACTAGTTAGTTAAATATGATTGAATGCGTGTTTAGTTTAAATTTCTCTTCAAAATGTGTTTGGTTTGTTTTTCTTTTAGGTTTTTGTTATATGTATTTTATGATCTAAATACTAGTATGTTTTAATGGTAAAAATAATGTCCGTTTTTTTAGTCCGATTTTTTCAAAAAAAAATCGTATAATTCACGTATACGTATTTAAACGTTTTTTAAAAGTCAACGTTTTTTTTACCGTTTTTTTGTCCATGCCACCGAATAAAACACCGCCGTATTGAACACCATTTAATTCCCGTACCGTATTTAACCAACTAGGCTTTTAACCTTTCTTTCTTCTATGTTTTGATGTTTAATTTTTGGTGTCTGGTGAATATCTTTTGAGTTTTAAACTTTTGACTTTTGAGATTGTAAATCTTTTGACTTTTGAGATTGTAAAGTAAGAGAGTTTGTGGGCCTATTTTGAACTTGTTTTGTACAATAAAAAACCCTTGTTTTGTCTTAATTGGAGATAAATATAAGTTGTTACAAGGTTGATTTGAGACCCTAGTGATTGATAATTGATCCATACATTTAGAAAATTAAGTTTAAGCTTAATTTTGAATATTCAAATGATTTTTAGATGCATAATTAAACAATTTTTTTTATTTTAAATTTAAATTTTAAGTAGGTTATGTAATTATGTTCTCTAATTTAGTGACATGGGTGCATTATTTAGCACATTTGTTAAACTAATTATGTCACTAAAAAACTAATATTATCATATACATGATTTCAATAAATTGTGTTTTATTTATCTTTAGTATCATGCCTCCCTAATGCATGTCTGGGTCTCAAAAGAGGGAAAGGAAATCACGTATTGACTCGTTAATCCAAAGTCAAACTGGAAATATTAATAAATACTTGATTTTGAACGAAAGAGCCGCTCCGGAGAGCACATCCGTAGAAGACTTAAGAGGTGAAAAGGAGGTCGATGCAATTGCAGCTGATGTTACATCTGTAACTTAAAAAAATGCTACAAAATATTGTACTTTACAGGGGCCTTTTTATGAAGTTCGACTCAGGCTCGAGATTAGATAGGATCGGCACTGAACATCTTCAATATAGACGAGCTCGAAGATTGAAGCTAGAGCGATTGGTCCACTTGGTCGTAGCTCGCTCCCTTATGATGTTCCAAAAGGTTGAATCCACTTATCCACAACCCCACCCATTCCGACCTGACAAGGCAGTTAGGAAAATGCAAGTCACGGTAACTCAGTCAATCGTATGGTGATAGACCTTGTATCCGTGTGCATCAAGGTTTCAGCTAGCCCATCACATAGGATTCGATCTTTGAACAATGTTTCAAATTGTCCTATCACTCAACCAATTGAGCTACTCGTAGCTTGCTGGCTTATGAATATGATGGATTGATGGATTGGTGGAATGCCGCGTGTGCGCAAGTGCATGGAGATTGATGGTGTAATTGGAATCCCTCCCGGTTTTAACAATTACAGCTCGCAACAACAATTAGGTGTTAAGATGTTAATTCTGTAATAAATTTTAATAATTTATATGATTGGGCAATTAGGTTGTTAAACAGGGGCGGCCTTAGCATTTTTGAGGTCCTAGGCGAAAAACGCTTAATATGCATATACGAAGTAGTCCCTCTATCTCAATTTGTTTCAGCAATTAAATTATTTTTAGAAAAAAGTTACATATTCAGAAACTACATTAAAATTTTTACAGAATCGCAAAAAACATAACCAAATTTGATAAAAATTTAATGCATAAATTGATTTATATACTCTGTAAGACATAGACTTGAAAATTAAGTAAAATGAAGATAAAGACACCATATGAGAAATAAAGATATTCAAATCTCTTCTCAACTTGTTGTTTTTATCTTTGTACATCCTGACTCATAGTTACGTTTATCCGTCATAGCAATACCTACATACTTAACATTATAATTATTAATCAAAAAACACAAACAAAAAACTAAATTTAACAATTACTCATTTAAAAAATACAATTATAAACCATTTCGTATTAGTGTAAAACAAACGAAGTAAATGACATCATCACCAATTAACAACCAATCAATTATTATGAAATTCTTAATAAAAAGGTGCATATAATGATTAATGAGTCAATTTATTCTTTAGCATTGAGAAGTGTTAAGAAGTCTGTAGAACTCCCGAACAAGTTCCAAAATACCAAGTTTTCAATTTACGGCCAATTGCATAGTGAAGCTATTATGCATAGTAAGTAATACTATTACTTATGTCGGAACTCCGAGAGAAGAATAGGGCAGCAGGGCCACAGAGGAATAAATAAAACAGAGAAAAAGAGGAATGGAAATGGAAATTGCAGGAGTTGGCAAGTTAGAGCCGGGCATCGTCTTACAGGTTTGGGCTTCACAGTCGTCACTTCACCAGTGATAGGTCTGGGGTTTGGGGGCCTTCCAGCACGTCTTAGAGCTTTGGGCGACGATTGGCTCTCTTCTCGAATCTCTACCGTATCAAGTTAATTTTAATACTACCACTACTAATACTAAAAAACAGAGGCCCCAAAATTGTGAGGCCCTGGCCAAACTGGCCTCATGGCCGGCTCTGTTGTTAAATTTGTAATTGTTTCACTATTATACTTTTATAAATAAATAAATTTTGTTTTTGGGTTTGTAATTGTTAGCTAATACGTAGTAACTTGTATTTTGACATAAACTTTTAATATTTTGCTGGTATTTTCATTTTATCATCTTGATAGATAGTGGTTCTAATTTTTAGAAGGAAAAAAAGGTCTAATTTTTTTGCTCTTGCACAAGGTCTCCATTTTTCTAGGACCGGTCTTGATATTAATGAGCAAAAAAATTAAATCAATAACTTTGTTTTTGGTTTAAATGAATCCGAAGTGACGAAAATTCCAGTCAACATGGACTAATAAGAATAGCACTCAATAACACTATTGAATTGTAACTTTTTCAATGCAAGCCATACACATTTATCTAGGCGGACGTCTACCAAGACCAGCTTCGTTTGATTCTTAAATTATACTCCCTCCGTCCCGAAAACAACCTCCCGGTTTGACTTTCACACACTTTTAGAAAATAAATTTGACTTTACTGTAGAGTGCACTGTTTTGCACTGTTTAAACACTGTTTGGCAATGTTTAAACACTGTTTGGCACTGTTTAAACACTGTTTGGCACTGTTTAAACACTGTTTGGCACTGTTTATTGCTTTTTTGATGTAGACAATTTTCTAAATAAGGAAAGTATTGAAGTGTGAAGTTAATTTTGGGACATCCATTTAAGGAAGTGGGAAGTTGTTTTTGGGATGGAGGGAGTACAAAACTCATATCTAGTACTACTATATCATTTTTTATATTTCCCACGTATCATTCCTGCCGACCTTCACAATCTATCTCCACACTTGTTCTCCGTGAATTTTCTTATCTCAAATGTTCTTTTTAACCCTATACTACGGTGGTGGTGGTGGTGGTGGCAGCAGAACAGTTCTGAGGTAGTGTTGGACAGATGTAGGCTCTACTTTAACTCTACTTTCTGAATTGTGTGTGCTTTTCGGTTATCATCTTATGTAGAGCCTTAACAGTTCTGCTCACTTTAATTTTTGTTTATGTTTTTATTCTGGTTTGAATGGGTGTTTTCTTAAAACACATGAAAGGACGGGAACTTTTATAGATTTAGGATGCAACTTACAAGAAGAATCAAATAGCTAATTCTGAAAATTGTGACCTTAACCTTCTATACCTATTTATCAAGAGAGACTCGCAGGAGTTTAATCTTCTACACCTATTCTGAAAATAGTCAATTCTTTCTAACCATTGGGTAAAGATTTCCATGTGATTCTCGGAGGAGTTTAACGACATTGCGCATTGAAGGACGGTTAAGCGGAACACTGCTAACGCATAGAAGAGCTATATCAAGAACCTTGCATATATGTTCTTTGAAACTGGAATCCATGTTTGGGTCAATCACTTCATCAAGTCCATTGTTGTTCAAATTTGATGTAACCCAGCTTACTAAATCTTTCTCCCCAAACGCAGCCTCAACAGCTCTTCTTCCAGTCACCAGCTCCAACATCACCACTCCGAAACTGTAAATGTCGCTCTTCTCGTTCACATGTAAAGTATATGCATATTCTGCAACCAAATAATAGCAGTTGTTAAATGTAAGGGCTTTGTTAGATCAATTGGTAAGGCATCTTAAAAGTGAAAACTATTGATCTAAAACATCAATGAGTTTTTGTTTTTATACTCCGTAATTTCACTAAGTTTAATATCCTTTATTTGTTAAAACTTGTACACTTTTCATGAAGGGAAAATATATTGAAACTGAACATAAAATTCAATGAAAATTAAATAGATCAAGACGAACAACAGTTCACGTTTTAGCTTGATATTTACAATCATTCGAGCTCCAGATTAACAATTTTCACCGTTAGGATTCTTGATTGTTTGCTATCGTATCTTTCGGGTTCTGGGACGAAATTTCTTCAAGCTACTCATATGTTGGCAACATTTGCACCCAATATTTAGCATAAAGAGAAGACTAATAAATAAGGATTTTTGTCTTCTATATATAAACGAGTTAAGCTATCCTAAACCACCATGGGATAAAAATAAATAAAAGTATTGGAACTCCATCTCCAGTGAGATTGTAATTCAAATCATTAACATGGTATAAAAGCAGAAAAGAGCAGTAACCAAAATACGGAGTATGAAAATTACCTGGTGCAATGTAACCATAAGAACCAGCAATGACAGACATAGACTCAGCACAGCGAACTATTTTTGCTACACCGAAATCCGCAATCTTCGCACCAAACTCATCATTCAGCAAGATGTTGTTAGACTTGATATCCCGGTGAACTATAGGCGGCAGGCAATCATGGTGTAGGTAGGATAGACCATCGGCAGCATCACAAACAATCTTGAACCTGGTTGGCCAGTTCAGCAATCCAGCGCCTTTACGGCAGTGCAGCAAATCTCCCAGGCTTCCTCTTGGCATGTACTCATAGACCAATAAGTTGCAGTCTCCTGCATCGCAGCAACACCATAACTTCACAATGTTGTTATGCCTGATTTTCCCCAACGTTTCAACTTCAATGTCAAACTCGTCCTTGTTCCTCAACTTCTTCACAGCAACTATATCTCCGTTGCTTAGACTCGCCTTATAGACTTTTCCAGAAGCCCCATTCCCGATCACGTTTGAATCTTCTAGAAATTTGAGTATCTCACATTCATTTAAACCGATTCTGTAGAAAAACGTCCATTTGGATAACGCCACACCAGGCTGTTTTGTTGTGTTGTATTTCATGCGTTTATATATGAAACAGACTAACATGAGAAGGAAAACAAGGCCTGTCATTGCATAAATGGCTCTCATCAGCCATGAATAGCTCTCATGTTTTTCTTTAGTCATCGAAGAACATAAACCGTGGCATAAAGCAGGATTACCCAGGAAGCTGTCCCAGTACATGCTTTTGTCAAAGAGGGGAGGGATTTCCCCTGAGAGGCGATTATTCGAAAGATTAAACGCGTTAAGCTTCAGGTTCTGGAAACTCAAAGGGATTATTCCTGAGAATTGATTTCCCGAAAGGTCGAGATAATTCAGAACTGGTAAGTTTCCAATTCCATATGGAAGTTCACCAGATAACTGATTGTTGGCTAGATTAAGCTCAATTAGCTGCAACATTGACTGGATTCCATTAGGGATTCTCCCCGAGAGCTTGTTGTTACTAAGATCGACGGACAACAGTTGCTTCATGTTCATCAAAGAAGATGGAATTTCTCCTTGAAGTTCATTTTCACTGGCAGAAATTTGACCTAATTTCGCCAAGGTTCCGATTTCGACAGGAATGAAGCCTGAGAATCTATTTCTGGCAATTTGAAGGCTCTCTAAACTCTTTGCTGCAGATATCATCCTTGGTAAATTCCCAGAAAAATCATTGTCACTCAAGTCTAAGAGGTATACAAGGGGCAACCCGAATAACTCGGCGGGCACTTCCCCGGAGAGCTGGTTAGACCGAAACCGAATCCGTTTCAAAGTCCCGCACCGCTGCAGATTCGCCGGAATATTCCCCGAAAAAGAGTTGTTCATCAGTATGAGCACGCTTAAAGATCCCCCGTCGCACAGCCCTTCGGGGACCGTCCCGGAGAAGTTGTTGTAAGAGACGTCCAGTAAACTCAACGCCGAGTTCGATCCGAGCTGACTCGGTAATGACCCAATGATACGGTTGCGAAACAGTCTCAGCTCCTTTAAATTTGAAGAATTAGCAATTCTCTCTGGCACTGAACCCTCGAGTTGATTTTGGAATAGATTCAGCGATTCGAGGGGCAACTCGCATAACTCCCTCGGAATCGTACCGGTTAAACTGTTCATTGAAGCGTCAAACCGCCGCAACTGGGTCAGGTTTGACCACCGCGCCGGCAGTTCTCCGGTGAGCGAATTATTGAACAGCTCGATTTGAACGATGCTCTTCATTTGGGAAATCGTGCTGGGTATCGACCCAGTGAGTCGATTGTTGGACACGTCGAAGTTAGTGAGTCGACTCAGCCTTCCAATGCTCTTCGGGATCGGACCCACAAGATTACACCCGCCCAGCCATAGGTATTCAAGGTTCGTCAAATTTCCGAGTTCTGCCGGAAACAGACTCGGCGAAAATTGATTGTAAGCGAGTTCAATCCGCTTCAGACTCGTTATGTTACCCAAAATGGCCGGAACTATCCCGTTCAACTCATTGTCGGATAAAACAAGGGTCTCCAATGATCGGAATCTTCCAAATGTCGCCGGAATTTGACCGGAAAAGCTGCAGTAACTGATGTCAAGATGCCTGCAAGTTAAAAGGGTAATAGTACAGTATCATTCCACTTGATAACCACACTAATAAATACTCCGTACAATTACTGTATATCATATACGGTAATCAATTACTGTTAATAAACTAAAATCGCACTGTGATTTGATTTTGATGACAACATAATGTAAAGGTCAAACAGTAGCAGAAAACACAAAAAGCTAAGACTTTGTTCTTAAGTTCTTCGCTAATTTCAAGCGGTAAAGAAAGTATTAAAAAGCAGAGTATGTTAAATTTAACGGTAAAAAACCTGAGAAAATGGAGGTCGGAGAGGGTGTCCGGGATGGGTCCACCGATGAGGTTCTGCGACAAGTCAAGGCTGACGAGGTTACGGCATATAGAAATGGAGGGAGGAAGTATGGAGTTTATGTAATTGTTGGAGAGATTCAGAGTGGCAAGAGACGGGAGATTGCAGAGGAAATCCGGGAAGGGGCCGGAAAGGGAATACCCGGAGAGAGCGACGGCGACGACGGCGCCGTTGCAGTCGCATTCAACTCCGGCCCAGCTACAAGGGGTAATATCACGTTCAGACCATGAAGAAAACGCGCCGTTTGGGTCGGAGAGGAAAAGCTTCAGTCTTTGGAGGTAACGTCCTTCTTGATTCAACCCAGAAACAGAGAAAGGAAGACGAAATATCGCAAAAACAGATAAGAAGATGAAGCAGAAACTGTGTAACCTCAAAAGCCGCGGCATTTGAACGAAGGATTTCAATTCATTCATTTACTGATCCGTAAATGCATGTTCTTGGCATAAACATAAACAAACATATTTAAAGAAGGAATTAAGAACGTGGGTTTTGTCTGGTTTGCTGAAAGGGGTGACCTTTGGTAGTTTTGGTAGTGAGACTCTGTGGATTGTTTGGAAATGGCGGAGGGAAAAGAATGTGAGTTTTGTGGGGAAATGCAACTTTTGAAATGGTGACGGATGAGTGTGATGTTTAACGTGAAAATTCTTTGTCACTCCCGGCCCCGGTATGGTTGGTCCCTCTCTTTAATACCAATGTTGGGAATTGCCATGACATTAAAATGGCTAAACACGGCTAATAAATGATTTACATTTTCAATATACACTATTGATTCTCTATGAAATTTTCGAATTATCATATCCCGACTTCCCGAGGCCAATTTTAAACTTAAATCACACAGAATTTATTATTTATAATTTTTATTGTTGAAGGAAAAATTGGTCCATACTCCACATTGGTACCTATTTACTTTTCTTTATTTGCAACATTTGTCATTTTTTAGAATCATTTTTACTTGTAATGCTTCCCATTTTTATACCGCCTACATCCCTTAAAATTTGGTCAATTTTGATCAAAAAGACAATTGAGAGATGAAATTTACGCACTTAACAATACAGAGAGTACATTTTCCTATGTGTGGTTAACATTTTCATATGCGTGAATTACATTTATACACAATTCTTGGAGTTACATTAGATCATTTACATATTCATATTCGTGAATTACATGTTAATGTGCGCGAGTTACATATTGTTATGTGTCATTTACATCTTCATGTGCGCGAGTTACATTTTTTATGTGAGATTTATATCTTCATGTGCGTTATTACTTTTCATATATATGCCAGAGTTATATTTGGACTAAACTCGACAAGTTAACTTTGCATACACATACATGGATGAAGATAGGTATAGGGTTAGGGGGCCTTGCCCCACCCCCACCCCCAACTTTCTTTTACTAGTATTAGTATTAAATGTGAAACAATCAGAAAAAATTAGTTCAAAACCACATGATAGAAGCCTTCATTTGATGTACTTTGGAGTAGAATTTGTTGATGAAATTTGTAATCATGTTTTAAATTTAAGTTTAGATTATGTACATCAGATTTCAAGTAAAAATTCAATCGGGAAGTCAACTAAATAAAATATGAAAAAGCACTGTGTTTTTTATATACATTTTGATGATGTGTTTTTCAATAATTTATTTAATTCACTTCTTGGTTGAATTTATACTAAAATTTGTTTTGAACAATCTACACATCATGAATAAAAAAAATAACTCGGAAGCACATCAAACATAGGCGATCTGACAGCGGATCCTGTCGGGTAGTTTTGACACGATCATTCCTCATGAAATAATTCCATATATGTGATTTAAAATATGAAAAAATGTGTTTTATTACTCAAATAGATCTTACTTAGTCCTATTAGAAATGATTTGATTAAAGTTTACTAAAATAGTAGTGAATAAGTCATATTTTGATAATCAAAGAACAATAAAATTGTGTATGAACTATATTTTTGTTGTAATCCTATTTAGTGAGTTTTCCCTTTGTTATTTGTGTTCCTTCTTGGGCTCCCTAGGACTAAATCCTGACTCCATCCCTATACATATGAGTTATACTTTCCATTAACGCAGGTTACATTTGCTGCAACATGAAATCCAACACAAAATAAATTAATGTTATTTAAACAAAAAGAACCGGTCATTAACGTTGTTAATAAACCCACTACTGGAAGGATTCCTATGTTACAGTGGAGCAATGATGGGTTTCAAAAAATTACTAGTACATGTGCGTTGCACGGGAAAATTATTTCCATAGAGTATATTCTTGACACAACAATGATGGTGTTTTATGAGCATCATCCTCAGTGGCTGATAGGTGTGAAAGCACCTAATACTTTCTCATAAAATATGGTCTTTTTTTGTTGACCTTTGAAGATTTTTGCCCCATTTTGATTAAACTTGTGCAATATTTTGGTTGTAGGAACCATGGGAAGGATTTGAGCTTTGTAGGGGTGAAAACCAAGCATTTTGAAGAGTCTCGGGAGCATAAATGAATGATTTGAAGACCCCCGAAACCAAGCGGAGCACAAGGAAGCAAGAAATGAAGATGTCGGAGGTGTTTCGGGGAAGGCAGCCTTGGGAACGCCATATGGAACTAGGGCTGAGCAAAACCCGATCCGACCCGAAAACCCCGATATTTTTTTCGGATATTATCCGAACCGAAGTGGATATCCGACTCGAAAAACCCGAAACCGAAAATCCGATTAGTATTGGGCATAGACCGGGTGGCGGGTAGGGTTTGTGAAATACCAACCCGACCCGCCCGAATATCCGAAATATATGTTAGTGTGTACTTTGAATATTTAAATTAATACTTGTGTTCGATTATTTGTGTAATTATTTACGAAATTTGTATTAAATTATTTGTGTAAATTGAATGTGTAGTGAACTAGTGTGTACAACTTTTGTTAAAGTGGCATTCCAACACTTTAACTATCCAATTTTAATGTGTTTTGATATAACCAAAATATCCGAAATATATTAAATTATGTAGTGTGTACTTTGAATATGTTAAATTAATACTTGTGTTCAATTATTTGTGTAATTATTTATGCAATTTGGGTTAAATTATTTGTGTAATTTGAAAGTTTAGTGCACTAGTGTGTACAATTTTTGTCAAAGTGGCATTTAAACACTTTAATTATCCAATTATAATTTTTTTAATATAACCGAAATATCCGAAACCCGACCCGGTATCCGATAATATCCGACTTAAAAATATCCGAAATACCCGATTTGAAATATCAAAGGGTCGGGCCTAGTATTTAAATAAAAAAAACGAACGGGTTTAGGGTTCGCAAACCCAACCCGCCCGAACCCGACCCGTGCACACCCCTATATGGAACGACGTTCTCCCCAGCGTTCCCCCGTATTGTACTCCAGATTGTCAATTCAAAGTCTCAGGTGTGGGAACGCTGGAAGGGAACGACGTTCCTATCAGCGTTCCCTCGAGAACGACGTTCCGTTTACGTTCCTCCCAGCGTCGAACTCTCTGTCAGCCGACTGTTTTGTTTTTTTAAGGGTAGGAACGCCTATATGGAACGCCGTTCCTTACCGGCGTTCCCCCGTCTCCCCATTTGTATAAATAGCAACCCTTGTTCGAATTTTCATAGTTTTGGACGAGCTCTCTTCTTGCAAACCCTAGTTTTGGTTGTAAGCTTGCTTAAACTCAATTGCACTTCATTTCTTAATATTATTTGCATCAAATCTTGAATCTAGTTTCATTTAATCCATTAGATTGCATCATTATCATATTTCCCTAATCCATTGATCTCACTTCATGTCTATGTCTAATATCTCTTCAATGAATATGAAATCTAGCATGAGTGAGTAGTTGGATTAGGGATTGGGGGTGTTTGAGGAACATCCAACCATGTGATGTGTTAGGTTTTGGGGTTTGATTTGGGGGAATTTGAGAAATACTTTATGCACACAATGTGTTTGTGAAAATGCTTCTTTGTATTTCTAAGACTTTGATGGTCACAATGTTCTTAGATGATGTTTTGGATCCTCGAGGAGACTTGTAGGGTTCTCTTTGACACATTCACACACACACTACCTTCTCTCCATGAGAATGGGAGAAAGTAGGGGAATAAATTATTGGTTGGTCTTCTTTGCATGACTTTGGATTGTTATTGGACCATGAGAATGGCCAATAGGAGCCCTTAGTACCCCCTTGACCGTGAGAGTGGCAAGGGAACTTTTACCTATCCCTTTGTTGCATGATATATTCCCAAGTATCCCCATTTTGACCTCTTATCCTTAATCATAGGTTGTTCTTTGTATGCCCCCACTTCCCTTCTAGTTTAATTGTTATTTACCCCCATTGCAATTTAGTTGTTCTCTTAAACTAAACATACTTCGATTTGGCTAGCTTACATGTTAGAATTATAGATTGATTTTACACTTGATTTTTCATATACACCGTCCCGTGAGACGATATCCGGGACTTCCATATCCCAACACCCGATGAGCATTATTGTAAAAATCACTCGTCAGTGGCTTTGGACTTATTTAGCATCTCTTACTGGGTTCAGAAACAAAATTCGTAATAGCATCTACTCAAAGTGAGTGACTAGTGATTGGAATATAAATTAAACATAAAAGTTTAACATAACAAATCAATGAAAACTTTACAACCATTGTCTTAAATTTTTTGATCCAAAATTACTGATTTGACTTTTCATATATGCTCCATGTATAGGCAAAGCAGGCATGTACACACACAATATTAGATTGAAAACAACTTTAAAATGCAATAACTTAACCTTGAAATATACAATTCATAGTTTTAAAATATCCCCACAACCCATGGTATCACATGATAGTGCAAGAAAGAAAATTAAACTTCCATCTAGTTCTTCATTATTAATCTCTAGTGAAAAACTGAAAATCGCAATTTTGGTTTCTCAAGTCCCAATTAGCCACCATATTGAAATCTCAGACCCGTGTTTTCGCTTTTTTAAATGTCACCCCTGGTTTGTCAGAATTGTTAAATGTCACCATGTCGTTAAAATTCTTACAAACCCCGTGAGGCTTTCCATTTTTCAGGGGTAAACATGTAACTTCACATCCTTGTACATTAAAATCCCTAAATTGAGTACAAAGCAAACTTTCTTTGTATAATTCAAACGAGGTACATGTCATTTAATTAGTAAGCTCTCTTCCCTTCGTTTGTTCTTCAACCGTTTGGATTTTTCAAAAGGTGCTGCCATTTTCATATGATTTAAGGTTCTTCGTCTTCAGGTGCATGCATATTTTTCGTTCCTCCCATCATCGTTCTTCTTTTGTTTATTCAAAAAATGAAAGGGATGTGTAGGGTTGAGTGGGTGGTATGACCATTGTGGTTTGATTAATTTTGCAGAGGGGGTGTTGACAAATTATGGGATATACCATAGTTGCAGGAGTTTAAAGCACTTCCTAAATGAATGCCTTAACAAGAAAAAATATTCTAATTGTTCAATTGGTATTCAAAGTTGCTTGGTTACAACAAAAGTTGGGGAAAATAAAGGTAGATTGTTTTACAATTGCACACAATGAAATTACTTCGAATGGAAATTGGGTGAAAGCAGCAATCATGGAAGGCAAGGGCCAAGTGTTCAAGGTGA